GCAGGCAGGCAGGCAGGCAGGCAGGCAGGCAGGCAGGCAGGCAGGAAGGCAGGAAGGCAGGAAGGCAGGAAGGCAGGAAGGCAGGAAGGCAGGAAGGAAAGGGGACATGCTGGAACTGTCATGAGTCTTACACATCTGATCAGTTGCCTTTTTTAGTCCCCACCGCTCGTATACTTTCAAGCATATCTAACACCAGCTTTCATAAAAACATTGACTTAAAAAAAAAGTTCAGATTTTTCAGGAAAGCAAGTACAAAAGTCTGTGTTTCTTGGCATTCCTGCAGGATCACAGACCACATAGATGGCCTTGTATATAATCTAGAAATATGCACACTGTATATCTGCGTGGAGGGGTCATGGGGATGGAAACGGAGGGGTGTTTATAAAAACATAGGATTCCTCTCCTCAGCTGAGAGATATCGGTGCACTGGAAGGCATAGCTGCAATGCATTAAGGAGGCAAAGGTTGAGAAATGAATATTTGTTTTTAAAAGCAGGTTTCTGGGTGACTATTTTTACAATGGCTCGCATGGCAATATTTATCTTGGGTTTTCAAGGAAGGCGTTCACTTCTTTCCCACCAAAAGCCTGACGTTCTGGGCCAGAATTATTCACGTTCAGCTAAATATAGATGGTAAAAGGTTGTCCGATATAGCTATAAACGGAGATATCCAAAGCCTGTTTCTTTATGTTTATCATCGCCGCTCATATTGATGACTTTAACCTCAAGACGTTCTATCAGAAAGGTAGGGCAACTGCTTGGAGGTTAGGATTTATTTTGGTTTTGGAGCTGGCCCGCAGCCCAGATATTGACCAAATAAATATAGAAAGGTGTGCCAGAGCAGATTTTTGTTTCTAAAGCAGGCAAGGAGGGAAAAAAGGAAAAAAGATCCTGCATAACGACACCCCCCCCCAAACACACACAAAAATTAAAAACAGAGCCTCCTTGTTTCACCAAGTCAAAAAAGCCTACAGTGGCATCGGTCTGCAAAAAAAATAATATGCAGAGTCAGATTAAAAATTGGAACAAGAAAAAGGCCAGCTACATGGGATGAAGGCGTCTACTCCGCAGGAAGGTGGCATTTCGAGGATAGAATAGATTTCCTGCTAGTTCAGCAAAGCTCCATCTATCTCCAAGATGACTCCTCGCTTCTGGAATTCTCAGCTATCTTGCCCGAGTTGGCACAGCCCACAATGATGACCTCACCTCTGCAGCCAAGAGGACTAGCCACTTGGAAATGGAATGCAAAGAAACGAGATTGGGTTCTCTGGATGTTGAGGAAGAGACCGGAACAACAAGGCGCTCTGCCCTTATTATTCCAACCTCTGGGTAGAACGATAAGTTATACACTGAATAAATAATAGCAGAAATTTATCTCGGGCATCTTCCATGACCTAACCTCATGCAAATTAATATTTAAGGAAGAGTCATTAGCCTCTGGCAAATAGCAGGGGGAAGTCCCCAGTTCCAGAATGCCGCCATGATTCCCTTTGCTGCCAATGTGAACATGTCAGCAGCTGGGCACAAGGAGGGAGACATTCCCAGGCTTGGCATAACTCCAAGGTCTGCAAAAGTGCAAATGATCTTGAGAGAAACATCCTAAGGCAGTGCTGTCCAAACTTGGCCACTTTAAGATGAGTGGACTTCAACTCCCAGAATTCCCCCACCACCCAAGCTCGGTGGGGGGGTTTTTGTGGGGGGAGATCAACCCTTTTTAATTGGCGAAAATTTAAAAAAAAAGTCCCAATGAGAAGGGGGGGAGA